TCGGCAAACGTACCCTCCACCAAGCAACCAGCTTCGGACATCTGTGGAAGTGACCTAGATTGAGACAGGGTGGCCCGAAGAAGATGATGAAGGGCAGGGGGGGAGGGGGGGTGTGAAGGGGCATCAAGGGCACATGGAAGGTGAGGAAGCCAGCGGCAGATGGAACTGGGGTCACCCCACTGCCTTCTGCCTGTGAGGCAAGTATGGGGAGAAGGTTCGTGAAGCCAAGTTTTCCAAAGGAAAACCGCCTGGTGGCTTTTAATCATCCTGTTACTTAATAATGAAGAATAGCCATTTATTTGTTTCATTTCCCAAAGACGAATGAATAACTGACCCATCAAACCCCATAGAGCTGAACTTGGCCTCCCTTTGTCTCTAGACCCAGTCTTTTCTTCCTTTTTTTCACTAACTTTAATATGTTGATTATTAACATGCAACCCAAAGAAAACCTAGCTTATGAAAACTTAAAGTATTAGCAAGGCATGAATGTTAGTTAGGATTGCTTCTTTTTTAAGTGTATTCATATTTAACATTTGTCTTACTTCAACCTATCATTTCCAATTAAAAACACAGTATGTTTGTTTTTTGTTTTTTTCTTTTAAGAGGAAATACACACACATTCTGAAAGGTTGTGCCTTTCCCTTCTCTCTCACGGCCCCGGGCAGCAGTGGCGACAATAGACATCAGCATTAGGAACACAGGACTCCCTCATCAATGGGGTCATAAACATGTTACAAGTAAATGCTGAAATCATGACTTTTTTGGACATCTTTTTTAATTAGAGCTGAAAGAGTTTAGAAAAAATGATAACCACCTGGCAAGCCAGCTCCTCTTTGAAAGCTGAATGAAAATCAAATGAGAGAAATAATTAGGACAGCTGGAAATAATAAAAACAATAGATACCAGACACATCTTTGACAAAACACAACAAACCAAAGAGTCATTACAATGTAAAATCTTAATTGTGTCATAGCTCACTAAATCTCTCTCCTTTTTCGCTCCTCAGTTCTTGATCACAGGGAAAAAACACTGTATAGCAATATGCAAAGCCAAAAAGCAGTAACATTGTTATAGCCTGAATGGGCCCAACAATAAACAGAGGTAGCTGTTGAAGCACATTGTATCTAAATAGACACAACACTGTAATTTGAATGAATTACTGTTTCTCCTATTCTGTCCCTTTGCATGGAGTGCTCATCTTTACTTCTTGCAAGTTGTTTGGGGATTAACACCTACTTTTTGATGTATGTATCGAGCCTTAAATTTGGTTTTTCAAATGTGGGGCTTATTTGGATTCTATTGTCCTGATTCAGAATTATTCCCAAACTATTGCTGGCCTTGACAAAGAACAAAAACAAACCAATAACCTCACCTGACATGACTTACACTGCTCCTCCAAAATGCAGAAGTTTCTGTAGTCACCGCTACTCTAAATAGCATTTTCTTTTCTTTCTATTTTGCCATGATGTGGGGGGAAGGCCATATGCCAAAATGCTAACAGTGGTTTTCTTTGGGAAATGGAATTTCTGGTCATTTTTATTTGAATTTGCATTCTTTTCTCTATTTACTAAAATCTTCGTACTTTAAAGCCAAACATAATATCATGGAAATTCTTCAATCCTATAAATGCATTTAAAGAGGGGGGGAAATGACCCAGAAAGACAGTAAGGACATCTATGCTGACAGACATTAAGTACAAGCTATAGGCAATGGGAACGAAACGAAACGCCTAGAAATGAAGTTCACAGACTTTGCAACTCCATTAAAGTGCAAATCACCTGCGCTGTAAGTTAACTGTAATGTAGGGAAGGTTCCCAGAGTAAATCAGTGCTGTTGCTGACTGCACAGAGCTGAGCATATACCTCTGTGTGGATCTGGAAATCAGGTTATCTAGATATTCAGTGAATGACATCCTACATGGTGGTATGAAAGCCACTTAATCTCCTCAGTCTCTTTGCCATCAGAATATCTCCCTTTCCACAGGCAAAGCTTCTGCTTAAAGTTAATGGAAACTGAGAAAATTGGGACATCTCTCCCTTCACTTTTTCTCTCTGTCAAACCAAGATAAAGGTTTTTTTTTTTTTTTTAAGATAAAGGTTTTATTCAAACTTTTTTATTTGAAGAGGAGCAGCACCTGAATGAAATTTGTTCATGATCAGAAATCTTAAGAATTAGAAATTTTCCAGACACCCGCATGAATGATACAATAATGCCTTGAAGAACGAGGGGGGGGGAATCATTCTGAACAGAAATAGAGCTATATAAGCAGTCTTCCTTGAAATAAAAAGGGTTTCCACTTATATGCCTTTATGAAAGTAATGTCTACCAAGAAGAAAAAAAAGTTTAAAAGAAATTTTCTCTAAAGAGTTAATCAAAATGATTCAGGTTTTACATTTTAGCACACCGACAAAGGCAATTTCTTTGAATTTGAATAGTGATGGCTAGTTCAACCTTTTTTTTTTTTTCCTCTAGAGGTTTAATCTGGCCATGACTCCTTCTTTGAAAAACCCAATTTAAAGTCTTGACTCCACATGTTTAAAAATTGCGTTTAATCCCCCACAATCTGTCCAATTTGAAAAGCAAAGGGGTATAAGTAGGAAGCATCCTGCTTTTTTAAAAACCAGCAATTAACTGAAATTAATTAATAATCTTGTTTGAGTTGTTTGATATCTATGAACCACATAGTGGTACTCACCAAATATTTGTTCAGTGAATGAGTGAAATGAATAAATGATCAAATCATGTTTTCTCATCCTGTTACTAGATGACTTGCTCTCACCTTCTATGACCTTCTTTTAAACTATAGCAACAGTTCCCCAAACAAGTCAGCCGATGAGCACTGACACATCAGCTCATGCCAACCTGTAATAACATTTTCAAGAGCTTGCCAGTAGTAACGGGAAATAAGTTAGGATAATCTAGTTGGTTTCTCATGAAGCTAAACATATTCCATTTCAAGGAATCTCCAACAGTCTGAGAATAAGTCCTTTGTGTCTCTTTGGGGCAGAAATGTCTTTTCTTTCATGAAATGATTTTTTTTTTTTTAAGTAGTCATTGTGGGAGGTTTGAGGATCTTTTCTTGGCATAATACAAAGTCCACAAACTTATGTCAGTGCCCTTTTCTCTAGTTTTACTGCTCTGTAAACTCAAAGTCTGAAAACTACTGGCTTCCAGAATATGCATTATTTCAGCTACAAGAAAAAAGAAGCTTTCTCTTTTCCCTTCCCCAGATTTGTCACTCCTGGGAGAACAGAGAATCTATCAGCTGTTGGTCTACATGAAACTTTTCAACTCCTTCCATCCCTCACCATCATCCTCCTAAATGCAAAGAGGCAGCCTGTTAACTACTTTCTGTACACTCGCCATCTCTTCTAAGGAGAAATGATGTACTGGACGCAATTTCATTGACTGTGTTTCTCATAGTCTCTTCTAGCAAACTGCCTTGCAACCAGTTCTGGGATAGACATTTAACCAAGGCCAGCCAATTCATTTTCTAACCAATTACCAACAAGATCCCTCCTCTCCAAATCTGAGCTAACGGGACGTAAAGACAGTCTGTGGTGGATACTGAGCCTGAGAGGCCATGAGGCAAAGTTGGGGCTAATGCAGTCATGCTGAGGCACATGAAGGGGGAGTGAGCAGGGGGAGGTGGTCAAGAAAAACATCAGAGAGGGCTTAAAGAGAGAACCAAACTCCTCAGAAACCATCAAGGCAGCTTCATTTGTTATTTCCAATTCCCAACCCCAACCGGATACCACGAGTTCCTTATTTAACCCTTTCCTATGCCATCTCCCTGTTTGTACTTGAGCTGGGGGGTATCTGTTCCATAACTGAAAGAACATTTCTAGAACTGCAAACATGGACTAATTTCATGCATTCTCAGAAGAGGGACTTACCATTCTTTCTTTGTTTTGTTTTGTTTTGTTTTGTTTTGTTTTGCTAGTAATTTTCTCTTCCTTATTTCTGTAATGCCAGCAATATACAAACCATCAAGCATACTTCCTTCCTTGTTCCCTTTCAGCACTATGCAAAAATATTTTCCATGCATAAGGAAAAGCCCAGCCCTCAGCCCTTCTCCTCACTCTGCATTCACCCCTTCCCATCTTTACCATAATCTAGGTTTGATCGTGTGCCCAGCCCCAGCCGGGCCCCCTGCTCGGACTGCATAACCAGGTGAGGCACAGCTAGGAACCACAGCACCTGGACAGTGAGCACATCAGTGACTCCACTGGGTGAAATTCCCCATTATTGTCATTTTTCCATTGAGACACAATCCAGAGAAGTCAAGTGACAATTTAATGTCACACAAGGAAGGAGCAAGAATAACATTTTATTTAGTCTTTTCACCTACTCTAAAAGATAAAATGTGATCCCCATTCCCTGTGAACAGGAAACTGAGCCCCACAAGGCTTGCCAATGATCACATAACAAGTAAGAATTGAGGCTTGGCTTTGCATGAAACTTATTAAATTCCAGTCTGTGTTCATTTAATAATACATCCTCTGCCTCCAAAGTTTTAGTGGTCAAACCACACTTAAACCCAAATCACATGACTCCTGAATCCTAAACAAGTACTCTCTCCACTAATTATTCCATAGTTATCCTGGCACAGCTCAGAGGAAAAGGTTCAGAGATGTGGCATTGGGTGGATGATAAAAAAGGAGGGCAGCTGAGAGCTGGCCCATCTTCTTCACTGGCCTTCATCAAACAAGGACATGATTCAAAAGCCATCTTCAGGTTGTGGTCCTGAGTCATTGCCCCTACCTAGTCCAGCCCTAGGGTAGACAGCCACCAAGGTGGCCGCCAATGATCCCCACCCACTAATATTCCCACTTGTGTGTTTTCCTCTCCCTCATTGTATCTGGGTTGGTCTAGGTAACCAACAGCATATAACAGAAGAATGATACCTCATTTCTGAAAGTAGGTTATTGAAGGAGTGCAACTTCTGTCTTCAGTGATCTTTCTTTCTCTCTCTCTGTCTTGAATCACTCACTCTGCAGGAAGCCAGCTGCCATGTTATTAGGATACTTGGGTAGCCTGCAGAGAAGCTCACATGGTGAAGAACTAAAGTGTCCAGCCAATAGCAACAAAGAACTGAAGCCTGTCGGCAACCACCTACGTAAGCTTAGAGAAGAATCCTCCCCAGGTGAGTGTTCAGATGAGACCGCAGCCCTGTTTTACAGCTCACATGCAACCTCATGAGAGTCCTTGGATCAGAACCACCCAGCTAAACTGCTCCCAGATTCTTGACTCACAGGACGAAAATTGTTGTTTCAAGTTGCTCCATTTGGGTATAACTTGTTATGCAGCAGTAGATAACAAAAATCAAGCCCTGAGACTTTCTTCAAAGTACTAAACACTTCTCCCACCTTGGTCCACTCAGGTTGTTCCCACTGAGGGAAGAACAATTCTTCTCCTTTGCCTTCCATACACATTTGGGTCAATACACTAACTCCCCCTCTCTGGCTAGGGAGCAAGCTCTGTAGCTAATTCACAAATATTTTCACTTGAAATATGTACGTGGTTCTAGACAGTGAATTTTTCAAAAGCCAAGACTCTCTCTTTCTTTTGTGCCATCATTTTTATATTCCTTTTAGCTTTTGGGCTCTTTCTCTCACAATAAGTCAATAGAAGCCAGAAAATTTCAAGAAAGAGTTTGACTTCTCTCCTGGGCAGAATATTTAAGTCATACATTATTGTTTGTTTTCAGGCAAACCAGTACAATTATGCAACATAAATTCTTTTAAAGCATCTGGGACTTCAATTCAATTTAAAATCCTGTGGGGTTTATTACCAGAATGAATGATTATAAAATATATGCATGCAAATGAAGAGATAAAAAAATTAAAGAGCATATGAAATTTAATGCACACTACTTGTAATTCCATGCCAAATTGTTGCAAAAAGACAATGGCTATGCAATATCACGTAAAAATGTGGTTTATAATATTTACGACTTGAGAATGTGGTTTTAATATTCTATCGTCATGAATATATTTTATAAAACAGAGTAGAGAATTAGTTTCTGGTGTTAATGGAAGGGGGAAGGGAAGACAGGTTTACCCAAAGCTGTCATCAGTTCTACTGCCAAAGTACAGAATCCTGCTTCACCCCAATAGTGTAGCATAGTGAAAAGCTTGTAAAGATGGAGGTGCTCTGTTTTTCAGTGTTTTTATTCTAAGAGTTCATCTGGAGACAATCTAATTCAATCACTATTTATTAAGTGTCAAAAATGTGAAAATAAATATATTTGAGACTCTAGGGGGTGGGAGTGGAAGGAATCAAAATCGAGCCTTACAACACCTACCCTTGAAGAGAGCACAATCTAGAGAGATAGGTAAGTATGTGCGTAAGGAATCCGAACCAGAATTGTGTAAACTGTTGCAGTAACCAAATAACAGACTCCCATCCCCAGTCCCAGACTCCCGCTCTGATCCATCCTCCACATTGTCACCTCATGTTTCCCTCTTCTGCATCAAGTTCTCCATTGCTTAGACAATATAGTCCAGACTCTAGTAGAAGGCCCTCAACATTTGGTCTGAAACTACCTTTTCATATTCAGATAACACTCTAGAGAACAATAGGTAAGAAAAAAAAAGTGGTACCACTTGAAAAGTCTGGGGGTTCCAGTTTAACTCTTCAAATAGTGTAGGGAGCATTCACTGTTTCTTATACGACTCATCCCTTCCTAACTTTTGCCACCAAAAGAACTGACATCTGAAGAAAAGAGTCAAGACAACAAACCAGCAAGCAGCTGAGGCATTTCATTGTAAGGATAGGTACAGGAGAAGGAAACAAAAGGGTGTGTTATTATGAAAGAAATTAACTGATATTAGCATCTCCTTTCCCTAACCCCTCCCACCCCAGGCCCAGTCCCCAAAGAGGAGAGCACTGGGCTTCTAAATGTCTCAGTTCTGTATGCTTCACCCAGGAAGAAAAATTGCTCTGGGATCACTCTTGAATATAGAGGGAGTGGTGAGATTCAGAGATAAAGAAAATTGCTTGGAATTCATTAGGCTGATGCAGCAAGATCTAGCACTATGGAGGCAAGAATTGAGGAGCTGTAGGATGGGAAGGCGTTTTCTTTGGATCTGACTTTTTCAGTGGGTGAGGAGTTCATGTACGATGTGGAAACAGGCCATTCTTTCATGCATCACCACAGTAAGCCTGTAGAAACACAGCAGTTGTGGGGCCCCGACACGTCAGTGGGGAGCAAAATGTATGCCTGAACTCCCAACTTAGTGAAGAAATGAGCCCCAACAGCAGCACCATGGCCTAGTGATGGGCATCTCCTTCACTGGGCCCCATGAGCACCAAATAAACCTAACTGCTTGTGTAATCCCAGAGAAAGAACAAAGAGTTCAGTCTCCCACCCGTCAAATGATGGGGCACTCAGAGCAATTTATATTTTATTTAGAGATTTAAGGAATGCACCTTGTATCATGTCCTAAAATCTTTATATACTAGACCTAGTTCAGGGGTTATTCCCAGGTAAGAATGCTCAGACCAGTGGGTTTCCAGATCCCTATAGATGCTTTTGCATGCCAAACTCCACATGCACAGGTCTACAGAGGAAACCACATTACCCTTTATGGAAAAAACCATTTCCCTATTCCTTCTTCCTTATTTCTGTAGACCACAGGCTAAATCCAGCCTGCCGCCTGTTTTTGTATGAGCCTTGAGCGAAGTATGGTTTTTACATTTTTTTAAATGGTTGGGAAAAAGCAAAACAAGAATAATAGTTTGTAACACATGAAAATTACATAAAATTCAAATATCTAGTCCATAAATATGAAGTTTTATTGAAACACCCATGAGCGTTTGTTTACCTTGTATTACCTATGGCTGCTTTCACTACAATGGCAGAGTTTTGTAGTTAGACCCTACAGTTCACATTAGCTGAAGCACTTATTATCTTGTTATGCATTCCTGGCCCTTTACAGAAAAAGTTTGCTGACCCCTGCTTTGCACATGTGGAGAGTAACAATATTTAGGAGAGAGGGTGACACACTTTATTAGGAAACCAAGTGCCTGATCGATGGACAGGAAGCAGATTCTAGCCCTTGTCCCAAGCCTTCCCCTCCAACCTGTCCTAAGTGGGGAGAGGGCATCGGGCCCCAAATTGTCCTGGCTGGAGAGCTTCTATCCATGTAAGGACTCAGAACAATGCAACAGAAAGGTAAACAATGTGCAAAGAACCCAGAGAAGCACTAGAACCTTTGCAGGCCTGAGCCTCTACCAGCTTCATTATGACAATATGCCTAAATGAAGAAGGTGAGCATGGGAAGGGGAGCAGGTCAGCCAGCCTGGACCAGTAAAGGAGCCTTCCAGCTGCCAGGCCCACTTCCCTCCTTGCCACAGGAGAAGGGGAACAGGCTTAGACGGCCAAAATGACATCTTGACTGAAAAATGGTGGAGCATGACAACAGGAAGCACAGCCTCCTCCCAGGTGTCCAGAGAGTACTTTCTAGACCTAAAATAAGACACTGAGGAGAGTTGCAATCAAGCAAGCCTTCAGAGTGGGGCAAACTCCGTGCCCTGACTTTGTTGATTTTCCTCAGTAATTATAGTCTACTGAGAGAGCAGTTATTTTAGATATTGAGCAGGGAGGGACAGAAAAATGATTTGGCAATTAAAATATATGCCCCAAGGAACTGTTGTTGTTTTTTCTTTTCTAAAGATTTATTTATTTATTTGAGTGAGAGAGAGAGAGAGAGCAAGCACGAGCAGGAGGGGCAGAAGGAGAGGGAGAGAGAGAATCCCAAGCAGACACAGTGCTGAGTGTGGAGCCCAATGCGGGGCTCCATCTCATAACCGGAGATCATGACCTGAGCTGAAACCAAGTTGGATGCCTAACTGACTGAGCTAACCAGGCACCCCTCAAGGAACTCTTTCAAACCATTTTTTTTTTTTAAGATTTTATTTATTTATTTGAGAGAGAGAGCATGCAAGAGCAAGAGACCAAGAGATCAGGTGGCAGAGAGGGAGAAGCAGACTCCTCCTGAGCAGGGAGCCCACCTCCGGGCTGGATCCCAGGACCCGGAGATCATGACCTGAGCCGAAGGCAGATGCTTAACAGACTGAGCCACCCAGGCGCCCCTCAAACCATTTTTTTAAGTTTCTCTTTTTAACTGAAAATATTAGAAATTGATATGAATTCTCACTAATGTCATTTTTTTATACTCGTCTCTTGACCAGCTTTTGTTTTCAAATTGAATTAGGCAAGCTGCTGATTCAGAACAACACCTAATTGTTTTTGTAATCCTTTCATTCCACAAACATTTATTAAGGACTTATTAGTCGCAAGGCACTGTGCCAAGCATAAGTGGGTGAAAACAAAATGAATAAAATAAAGTCTCAGACTCAAAGAGATTTGCAATTCAGTAAGAGAGATATAAAATATGATTACAAATAACAAATAATACTGGATGGAAACCATATGGGTATGTGTACATCTGAAATGTAAATATGCTGAGATACTTGGGTGAAAAGCTGAGCCTGAACAACTCAAAACAGAATGGACCTTGCCCTCGGCTATCAGTGTGCTCTTGTGAAAGGGGGTTTCAGAACCAATTGTCTAGATCAGGGTTTTTCAAAGTATGGTTGGAAGAGCGCCCCCATCAGAATAACACGTGATGCTTGCTAAAAGGTACATTGGTCTCTCCCCATCCTGCCAAATCAGAATCTCCAAGGCAGGACCCAGACCCCTGCCCCCAGTAACAAGCTCCTCACGTAGTTCCTATGACACTTTCCAGCTTGAGACAGAGACTAGATGAGTGGTTCTCAAACATTGCTGTTCATGGAATTACCTAGACCCCAAACCAATGAAATCCAAGGATCTGGGAGATGGGTCTCAGGCACCAGTAGTTTATAACACTCTCCAGGTGATCCCAACTTGCCACCAAGTTTGAGGACCAGTATTCTAGAACTGCTGCTCCCATAACTTTACACAAAGAAGACTAGGCTCCATTTCAAGAAAAAAAATTTTTTCTTCCTTTTCATTGATGCATTTAAGTAGACATTGAGTAGCCATTTTTTCCTTTTGTCTAACACATCCTCCAAGGTCTTGAACTTCATAATCCAAACTTGATCCATTAATGTAACAGTTACGCATGCATGTGCCAGGCACCATGGGAAGAACTATAG